CGGGGAGGGGCAGGCATGAAGCTGCAGAGAAATTGCCGTAAGGCTCCTGGGGCTGGGGGTGGAGAGATGATACTTGGGGATACTTTCAGGCGGGATGTGGTGGATGAGGACCTTGAAGGACGCGTGGTCAGCCCCAGCTCCTCCTCCAAGGTCATCCAAGACCCCTCCGGAGTGGCTGATGCCTGCAGTCTGTGGGCCCCATTCCTGACCATTCGAGCTGCAGGCAGAGCCAGCTGGGCTCTGCAGCAAGGGGCTGGATAAGCCGGGCCACCACCCTGTACCTCGCCTTCATTCTCTACCTCCCCCCTTCTTGGACCAGCCACTTTTGCCAGAAGAGCTGGTTTTCGCCGCTTTGGCCACCTCCTGCCAATGCTCACCGCGCTAGGGAGATGCTGCCACCTCCTGGGCTTCGATGGAATGGGCCTCTCGGGGATGACCTGACGTGGGAGTTTTGCCTTGCTGCCCCCTCCCGGTTCCCTAATGGCAGAACCCACTCCCTGGGATCTTTGTCCTGGGCCCTGCTCTCAGCTCTCTGAGCACTCGTGGAGTCCCAGCTCCATGTCCCAGCCCAGCCTCCTGGTAGCAGGAGGTGGTGGGCAAGTGACCTCATCTCATCGAGTGGGCTTCCTCATCCATCGTCTGTAACACCAGGACGGGTGTGAGGAGAGAGAGAAAACCAGAAAGCATATTTCGGAATGGCCTCTTTCTAACACTCCAGGGGGTAGCAGTCAAGGGTTATTCCTTTCATTTTTAATTTTCATAAAGGACTCTTGCAGACCCATGGAAACAAAACTCTTTGAGGTTGTAAAGCAGAGTGGTTAGAAGTGTCCAGACCTGGATTGCTTGGGCTATTTAGTCTCCCAGGGTCTTGGTTTCCTCACCTATAACTAGGGGAGAGTAATGGTGCCTAGCGAGGTGCTCAGAAGGGTAGTGATGCTAGGATGATGGAATCCCAGTGACGAAGGCAGAAAAGCCTCCGAGGTTCTCCTGAAATCACAGCAAGGAGGCCAGCTGGGCGTCAGGAACAGGAGAGTCTCAGTTTCCCCATCTCCTGTGCTGCTCCCCTACCCCTCCACAGCCAGACCCAGAGGCAGGACTGAGGCTCCCATGGAGACAAGATCATCCGGATCTGTATGTCTGAGTTGGCAGCCACGAGACACAGGTGGTTACTGAGCACCTGCCGAGTGGCTAGTATGACCGAGGAACTGAATTTTATTTTAATGTAACTAATTCAATTAATCAACAACTTAAAGCTGGAGCAGTGTAAAATATTGTTTTCCCATGGAACACAGCTCTATGGCTTTGGTGAGACGACAGCTCACCTGCCAAAAAATTAGCTTCTGAACAGAGATGTGCTGTGAGTGTCAAAGACACCAGGATTGTGAGGACTTAGCATGTGCCAAAAAAAAAAAAAAAAAAAGTAAAATATCTTTTTAGTAATTTGGCTTATGTTGATTACATGCTGAAATGACAATTTGGACACATTGGATTAAATAAAATACATCATGAAAATTAATTTCACCTGTTTGTTTTTACTTTTTAAATTCTGGCACGTAGAGAACTCAAAGTTAGGCGTGTTACTGGCATCACATTTCTACGGGTCAGTGCTTTTTAGATAATTCTAGGGATGGAGGAGAACTTGACACTCAAGACCAAGGCCTTCACACATCGGGAGATGCTTGCTACGTGGGTGGAGAGGGAGAGGGTTGGCTCCTGGTGTGTTAGTCCCCTAACCCCAAGAGTCAACTGAGGTCTCCCAGGCCCCCAGGTCCACAAACCTCCCCTAGGTTCCATCCTACCCTGTCCCATGATGGCAGTCACCTTGGGCAAGCAGCTGCCCATCCCTGAGCCTGTAAACGAGCTGCCCCCACCCAGAGGGTCTTTGTGCAGATGAGTAGATAACACAGGCTAAGTAGTTGGCCCAGTGACTACATGACATTTCTTCAGATCCTCCCTTAACTGGGAAACCTGGCTGTTTTAATCAGCCAAAGACACAGCAGGTAGGGAAACATTCCTTAAACTGTAAAGTGCCCTGCAGAAGTGAGGGGTCTCTTTCAAAGGCCACCTCTCCCATAGCAGCCAGGCTCCAGCCAGCTGAGTCCCCCACCCATGCCATCTAAGCCTCTTACATGGCAATAGGTACAGGCTTCACGTCCCTCAGTTCACAGAGGGACACGGCCTAGACCAGCTGCACCCCGGCTGGCCTCACATGCACCATCCACATAGGGGCCTCCAGCGGCAACACCGGTGCTGTATTGAGAGAGAGCCGGATAAGCAGAGGGAAGGAAGGAAGGAAGGAAGGAAGGAAGGAAGGAAGG